ACAAAACAAAACAAAACCAAAAACCAGCCCACCACAAGCAATCCCTATGTGCTCCTTTTCAAGATCTATATAACATGTCTTGTTTCATGCCATGATAGAGGTGGTACGTTTCACTCTCATCTGCTTTGGCACCCTATCTCCCCAGCTCATGTGTGCACGCACGCACAAACCCCTGGGAGCAGCCAGTTCATTTTGGCAATTCAGCACTATGTGGGTTGGTTTCTATAACCCTGAGCCTGACAACTATAGGACTAGTGAAAAATTGATTCCTTTGATCACAATAGGTGCATTTGCATGAATGAATTTTTGATTGTAGCAACAGCTTAGGTCGGGATTCACGAAGCAGAGCAAAGTAATGGATTAGTCACCACAGCTTCAATTAATGGTTTTGGTTCCCAGTGGCAAATCGATGTCCATCAACTTTGACTTCCTTGTCAAAAGCAGGCAGGCAACAACTCCATCTATAGCACTTAATTTACAGACCTTGTAAAATCTTGGAAGCAAGAATTGACAGAAACATCTGAATTTACCTCAGGAAAACATATAAACTATACTCTACTCTTCTGCTCCATCTTGAAAACCTTTGGCTAGAGGGATAGAATAATTCAGTAGTGCTGAGTGTAGAAATAAGGTCTAGGCAGTCATTACCTTAAATCATGTTTATGAGCTCTAAAATAAATAAATCAGCTTCTTAATTGATTTGGACCAATGTCTAGCAAGCAATTTTAGCTCAGTAAAATAAGGATAAACAAATCCTAAAAGAGTTCAAATTTAAGAAGTTAGGGGTTGGGGCATGCCCTGCATATGCAATCTGCAGTGATTGTCAGCTGTTTTAAAGAGCTTCTCAAGTAAAAATCACCAGAGAACAAAAAACAAAGCACAAACCCACACACCACATCACCACATTTAATTTTTGCATCAAGAAGAACGAATACAAGAGAGGCTGGAGCAAACTTTAGAGGAAAGAAAAACATTAAGCTCTAGATATTGTGTCATATAATGCAACTTGTTCAATGTTAGAAGTACCTGGAGTGAGTCGCTGCAGCACAGCATACAGCTAATTTGTGTATTGTAACAGAGCGGCCCCTGAACCAGAAAATTATGAAGGACTCGTTTCTCTTTGGCAGTTGCTTAACTTAACTGGAAAAACATCCAAAGACCTAACATAAATTTTGTGGAAAGCAAGAGGAGCAGAGCTCAATACTACTACAGCAGTCAGGAATGCACTGAAGGGCAGGCTCAGAATTTGAGAGCTCCCCAAATGGAACAGCACAGCAAGCTGCACAGCTTCTAGTGGTGCCTCTTTCCAAACCCATTTGCAATACATTCAGCACAAACAACTTCTTACACCAACACCACAGAACATCTCCTCAGCTTTCTGACATGCTCATTTGACACAAGCATCTCCTCTCCGACTGATGCAAGCAGCCCAGCAACTTCCAGCTTAAGCAAAACTAACTCAGTGTCCTGCTGAGTTTTTCCTATTAATTACAAAAGACACAGACGTGAAAAGGACACAGAGTTACCCTACAGACAAGCTAAGGCATAAATAGGAACTGTGGAAACAAAGCCACCTTTTTAAACCAAGAAATGTAAAACTCATTATAGGATGAAAAAACACAATAAATATTCTTTATCCAAACATAACTACTAATTACACTACTAAGAACTACTGAAATAAATCTGAACCATCAGTCCCCTCTGGTTCAAAGGTAAAACAACAGCAAAACTTGAAAAGGACTGCCTCAAATCCATGAACTTCAGTTTTAAGGAATTAAAATATCAATAGCATCAAGGTCTTGAAACGAGTGAATATAAACTTAGAGCAGCAATTCTGCAAGAATGAAAACTGAAATGCAATGACTGTAAAGGAGAGTTTGTTGTTTGTTTTTATTTCATTGCTTTTTTTTAAGGTCTGATAGAAACCTTCTAGCCCTAGTCATTTAGATCCCATTTTCATAAGTGTAATGTCAGCAGAGTTGCTCTGATAGAAAATATGTCATTCTTGTCACACCATTTCTATTAGTATGAAATCCCTATTGAACTCAATATTGAACTCAGCCTAACAAAGAAATATAGGGGAAAAAAAAAAAAATAAAAAAAAAATTAAAAAAAAAAAAATCAAGCTTCTCAGAGCATCCCTGTAGTCAAAAGTGTCCTTTTCTTAGGATTATTTTTGTCTCATTCCATGCACCTCTGGTTAGCAGCAAGAATGTACCAACTTTGTTATTCCATTTTTTTCTATTTCACCCTTAAAAAATCTCTCAGATCCTTCCCACAAACAACCTTTCTTCCTTTTCCCAGAACAACAGTGGAAAGACATGCCTTAGGCAGTTGTCACTTCCAGGTTGAAAGTTTACCAGTAGAGAAATAGAAGTGCTCAAGCTGGCAACAGTGAGTATTATCTACTATTTTATACATACACACACACATACATATGTATACACACACATACTCACAAAAATGCACTTCTGCAGCTTTTTGCATAGGAGAAAATGCAAGTCTGAGATGAAAGTGAATCCTGCCTAGCTGGACCTTAGTTCAAGAACAAGCCTTGGAGATACATGCAACCATCACAGACAGCAGACACCCATATCAGGATGCGAGTCCACCAAAATAAAGCACACAATATATGTGTAGGGTGCTCTCACTCCAAAGTGATTTTTTTTCTTAAATAAATATTTCCAAAGGTTCATATATGGTAAGGTATACTGGCTGACCCAACAATGGGAATTAAAAAAGATCTTTCATTGCTTAGTCCTTCCTTTAGATACATAACAGCATGGTTAAACTCCACAATACAAAAAAGACAAAACCCTGTTCTGCTTAGGGTTTTGTCTTCCTTAAACTAGGCAACACCATCTTGCTCTAGTGACCAAGGAGGCCACCTGATCACTTGCTCTATGCAGTAACAGACAGGAAGCATCCCAGTGAATATAGCCCTGTATAATGATGTTTTCAGATCTTTTTAAAATCCATACTATATTTCTTAACTAATGGATGTCAAGCATGATGAACAGCAGCTATGCAAGTGCCTGGCTGGTGTTTTATCATGACTTTTCTTCCTGCTATTTACACCTGTTTCCTTTCTGCTGTTTTAAGCCCATTAGTGTTTATTGTGTCCACACTGTGCATTGCAAATAATCTCATTTTACCAGTTCCTCTTAGACATGCCCCGGGCTATTGTCACACTGTGCACTCACTTTTCTTCTGAGCTGTACTAATTCTCTTCTCTTGATAATACAGTGTGACCCATAATTCATTGCTTAGGCAGATTTCATTATTCTGTACCTTTTCAATCAAACTCTGCTCTTACAGAAGCTCATTTCAAGCCTCTTTAACAGCTCTCTACTCCAAACATTCCAGTGTTAACTATAAAGGCATAACACATCAGCTCTGATAAAAAACCTTACTTGTGTTAGAAAAGCTCACACAGTACAGATAGGATTCTTGCAGCTCATGGTTGGTCTTATTTTATTTCTCTGTTATAAGCAATCACTTTCAGCTAGTGAAAACAATCAGCTTCTCAACAGTTGAGAAAGAATGCTAAGAAACTAATGCACTACAAAACAGCATTGTGAGTTTGTGCCCAAGTTCACAAACTCCACATGACTGTTACAAAGCCAGACTTAGGGCTGCAGCCTCTGTTGCAAGTACTTTGGGAGCAAACAGGAAAAAAGGGAGGAACTTCCAGGACAAACATCTTTTGTTGAATGAATATATACAACAAAAACAACACTCCAAAAAAAAACAAAACAGAAAAAAAAAAGGAGCCACACTGACAGATTGGAACATCTGTGTTAGATGGTATATGAAGCTGTACTACCTCTTGAATGTGACTACATCCCTACACCATAATCAGAAAGCATTTTATCACCAGCACTGATGTTATTAATAAATCAAATAAAAATCAGACCAATTATCTATAGTCTCTTTTTATGTTAAAAAAATATTTTTTTCATTTAAAATAAAGTCTATTTTCCATACTGATTTGAGGCTTGATGTTTTTGCTTGTTTCCATTGTTCGTTTTTTTAATTGTTCTGTCCTACAGTAGAAGGGAAGAAGCTGAAAGGGCCACAGCAATACCCCCTGCTTTGTTAGGAGAGAGATAGCTCTGCTACTGCACCTCAGTAGAATTTCCTGAAATATCCACCATGCTTTTCACTGTGTGATCTTACTACAAGCCTTTGGAAGAATTCGGTTGAAATACTTCAATTTTGTATCACAGTAATCAAAATTCAGTAAAAATGAGGCCAGAGTCCACAGTAAAAACCACGGAGATGGTCTGAAGGTCTTGATAAAGCATCTGCTCCACTCCTTGTGCTACCACAAAAAGTCAAGAACATCCACAGGAACCTTTAACAGATGTTTCCCTTACACCCTTTTAAGAAAATCTCTAAGGATAGCACACGTTATTATATGTGCTGCTTATACTGCTCCACTACTTTCACAGAAGAAAGCTTCTTAATACCTGCGTTGTATCTTCTTTCCTACAATTACAGCTGATCATTCTTGTTCTACCCATAGAGAATACAGGACAAAAAAAAAAAAAATAAAATTCTTTAAAGCATCTTTTACAGACTAGATAGTTGCTATTGTGGTCTCCTTTTGTCTTCTTTTTCTTTTATCTTAGGGTAAATTAATTTTTTCAAGCTTCCCTCAAAGTTTAGATTTGCCGAACTCCTCATTTCCACTTTTTTTGCCTTTTTTTTTTTTGCTTTTTAATTTCTGTCACTACTTCGTGCCTGTTTTAACAGGTGAAGCTTGAGACTGCAAGCTGATATTCTAGATGAAGGATCCAAATCCAAAGACAGAAAAATATCTTCCTTCATGCTGAATAATCTCCCAAATTAAAATTGCTTTTTTTTTTTCTAGCAACACTGCACTGTTGGCACACATTCTGTACATTTGCTTTACAACACAATATAGCCACCAGATCTGTTTTTGCTGACCAACTATCATGCCAAATATTATCTGACATTTCTTTCTTTGCACTTACCCACATTGGTTATATGATCCTAATTCTTCACCTTAAGATCAATTCAAATTCAGATTTTATCCTCCAAGGTGCTCGTTAAAGATCCTTCCGTTCACAGCTTATTGGGGCTCCTTTGCATTTCTAAGTCAGTTCTCAACTCCATCAGCCAAGTCAGTGATGCAGCAACCATAACAGCAGGACAACACTCAGAAGATCCTGGCAACCAAAGATAAATCCTTGAGATTCTCAGCAACACAGGAGCAATGCTACAAAAATTTTCTATGCTTTTCAGCCCCTTAGATTAAAAAAAAAAAAAAACCCTTAAGTTTTCCTGCAGAACAACAAAGCAGGTTTTCTAGTTTTATCAGAGGAACTCACTTTACCCAGTTGCTGTTTCTTGATTAAATAGTGGAACAGCCTCACACTGGCATGAGTTAGAGAAAGTCTACTTACCTGCAGTGGATGCCTCCCGAAAGTCAGCACAGTTCCTGCTCACCTAAAAAGTTGTCTATTCCTCCCACCCAAAATACAAGAAGATTATATTTTATCAGAAAAGATCTCTTCATTCTATGAAACTCAGTAATCTGGTGGTGCTTTTTAAGCTAAGTTTGTAGTCACTCAGAAGAACTGCTTCAACAACAACAAAGCAACCTTCTCTTAAACATATTGATTTCAACAGGAACGACACATACAAAAGCAAAGATTGGTTTACAGCACAGATCTCTTCCAAATCATTTCATTAGTATAGTGTGAACTTAAATAAAAATCCAAATATCACAAAATTAAAAAAATCATGGTCTGTTTAATCACCTGATTCTGCTTTACCTCAGAATTACAGCTGGCTTCCCTGTAGTGAAGGATACCACTCTCTGAAATTCCAAAGCATCTTTAAAGCTAAAAAGTCCAGAAAGCACAAGACTGACAGCCTTGGAGGTTGGGCTCTGTTTATCAGCTGGAAGACAACACTGAAAGCAGATAGCTAATTTGTTTTCCATCAGAGTTTACTCTGGTTTCCAACTTTTCTAGCAGCTTCCTGTTCATTCTTGTGCCTTTGTGTGAAGGTAGTCCAGGAGGACAACAACACTTTCAGCTTTCAGAGAGCCCGCTAGAATGCTACCCTCACCTTGCAAAAGTTAGCAAAGACTGACTTTTACTGCTAACCAAGAGCAAACCCCTGCCGACCTGTGGGAAGAGCTGCATGCCCACTGTCCATTTCCCAGCTGTCCGCTCGCTCTCACAAGATAGTTACACATTTCCTTTGCAGTAAAAAAAACTCTCTGTAGAGTAAGGAACACTCAAAGAAAGTCACACGCGTACAGATATCTTGTTAGTATTAATTAGCTTCACTGTGAATGTTATAATATGCATTCACTGCTCATTGGCTAACGATGCCACAGAAAGCACTTCAGAAAGTGGTACACTTCTCTCCTTTCCGTAACTCACAGATGGTGTTGGAGATGACCAGCTCCATCATCCCTTCTTCCTTCCTAACCGGATTAATAGACAAAACTGCTCATAGCTATCAGTGTGGAACTGCTGATTGCATTAGTTGCAGACATAATTAAGACACTGTTTATAGAAGCACTGAACTACAGGAGTAATTTTACCTGCACAAGAGCTACAAATTTGTCCATTTTAAAAGGAACATATTTCTTGTACTTCATCTGTTATTCTAATTACCAACCATATGGCTAAAGTTGGAACACACTTAGTTAATGACAGAACTGTGAAGAGATACATTTCTTACTCTGGAATCTGGATGTATAGCTCATTCTTAAGGATAAAGCCAAGTGCTGCTTTCACATCCAGACATAAGGTCTTTGAAATAACTCTTCAATTGTGATTGCAAGCTTCTGGTTAATATCAGGCCCTGTGAATTATACACAAATGGGATGGGATGCAATTCTTGTGGCAATCCATGCTCTCACACCTTACTCAAAATGGGATATCAAAGTAAGAGTAAACATTCATGCTGTACTTATTAAGAAGTTTCACTGTACAAGAAAAGCTGAGGTCAGTTGCTCACCTCTGCTCCTCAGATAGGAGACACATTATTAACAGTGTGAGCAAAAACACTGTCTTCAGATACTAGAGAAAGACTGAGTGCATAGCCTGAATTTATTCTTTTATCAAAACAGAAAGAGCTTCAGAGACTTTCTCTTATGCGCAACATGGAGAATAGCACTGGCATCAGTAATCATTAGAAGAGGAGCAAACTACATCTTAAATATTATCTATTTTTTATGTTGGTTGTATATGACGATGAATGGCATTTCACTGAATTACTTTGTTCCTTTTCTATGCCTAAATTTGGACTGTTTTAATGCACTTACATAATTCAATGTACTTTAAAAAAAACAACAAATCTCTTAACTTACTAAATGTTTAAAGTTACAGACAAGTTAAAAAATACTAATATTAATACATATATGCCTGAAAAGGCACTTGCAGTGTTGAGTTTACCAGATTTCAATCTATCTCATTGTTCTGCTGATCTATTTCTTTCATCTCTTATTCAACAATACAACAGCCAGCTTTTCTTGTAGATAATAATGAAACATTAAAATGCTGAGATATAATGTACATCTACTGCCAAGCACACTATATCAAGAAACAGTACCTTGTATGTGCTTGATTATCGTAGAAAGTGCACCAGTTCACTTATGAATATTTATGTACTATTGAATAGCTGGACCAGGACAGATCAAGATTTTCATTACAATTTTTCCTGCTGCTTTGATACTACAGCAGAGGATAAGAGGGAGGAGCACTGCTCCTATCAGCTGTACAACACAAACTGGATATTGTGCAAAGCCAGAATAACAAAGGGTATTCAACAGTCTTGATACCAGCCAACATGAGAAAATCCCACATGAAGGCTGACCACCAGAAAACAAAACCTATTTGTTCAAAATTCCTGCCATAGTATAAACAGTACTACAGATGGCAGAAAACAATTTGTTACCTTCTCCAAATAAAAGCTAAGAAAGGCAAAGACAGCAGCACTTGAAAGTACTTAAGAACAAACAGATGGCCAATGAAACCAGAACACAAACAAGTGGAAAACACGAGAAGGAATATGTGTCAACAGATCTTGAGGCAGAATACTGGTTAAGATGCAGAAGACATAAAGCAAGCTTCTATTTGGCATGAGGTGAAAGTAGAAGAAGCAGAAAAACTCAGGGAGCCTCCCAAACTGGGGAGAAAGCCACATTTATAGAGCCTAAGCACAGGAGCAGGGCAACACTCTGAACGGGAAATTACAAAACTGATCAGAACAAAGTCCTCCTTACCTCAGGATGTGAAAGAGGTCTTCATGGTGCATAAAAATTGGTTGTTGGATACATCGATAGAAGTATAAAAATGATCAAAGATGAAGGAGCATTAGGACAAACAGCCCACTAATCAATTTTGCCTGTGCAAAGCATGCAGGTGTTAGCAATTACTCAGTGGCTAAGAAATTCAGCACAGGTGTAGGCAGCTACCCCACACACAGCTTACCACCAGTCAAATAAGTAGCAATTCTAAGGGCAGTCTATTTCCATTTGCTTTTCCTTTTACAAGTATCCTTACAGTTAGATCAATGTAAAACAAAACTGTAAGAAGGTACATATACTTAGGTAAAGAATGAATGAAAAATGAGAAAAAAAAGTAGAAGAGTAGGAGTCTTATTATTATCTGAAAACACTTTCAAAGCTGTCGAAACACATGCTTTTGACCTATAATGTTTGCTGAGAAACACTTCACAGAGCAGTACTAGTTCTCAGTAAACAGGCTTTTTATTGCAGCTATACTGTAGGACAACTAGAGAAGAGAATATGGAAACAACTGGGGGCTCTTAAGGGCACTGCAACTGTTATGTAAAAGGAAAACTGTAAATGGATTTCCTTGCTGCAGTACACTTTTAGTAGCAGAGATGTGTACTAAGGCGGAAAACTATTTGTCTCTGACTGCAAGAGATCTGTATTATTTTTCTCCTCTATGCTAGGGTGGTGACCTTTTGGATACAGCCTTAAAGAAAGTGCTTTCTAGAAATAGACTGCATCAGTCTACAGAAGTCTCAGACTGTGTTACTTATGCTACAGATCTCATAAACAAAAAGGAGAAAACAGTCTGGAAATACCTTAAAATAAATTCACTGGAGGTGTACGCATCCAAATGTAAATGTGCCTCAACATATACAGTATATAAACGTTTTGAACAAATCTCACCATTTCCACATTTCAGCATTATTTCTCAACACTTTTGATTTATTTGATCTTGTAATCGCACCTACAAAAACAAAACAAACAAAAAAAACCCTCTTTTGCACAAGAATTTACACAAGGTGCCAAGCAAAAAAACACTGCCCAAATCTTCACCATTACTTTGACTGACACGCACAGAATATGCTTCCTTTGGCTGTACTGATTTATTCTGCTAATAATCTTTATATTACAAGTCCTTGTTAGGCCTTGGCAATGCACGTGGTCTATCTTTAGCTCAAGCTATTATGCCAGCTCTCGGTAGAAAGGGCTCTAAAATCTGGGTCTGTTACTGTAAGTGCACTTCAGTGCACAAATAAAATAGAAACTCATATCTGTATAACCACTGTCTTGAGGTCCCAATGAGCTTCTGAATATCACTGATTAAAACACAAATCTAATACAGTGCAAAAAATAAATATCATCTTAAGTTATAGCCAGGTTACCCAGTGTGCTTCCATCCTGTTACATACAGCAAGTCAGCAGGATGTGGTGAAGTCATTATTTTATGGAAGACCTCTAATACACTGCTTGCATTGCAAACACAGTGCTCAAATACTGAGCATTTCAAGATTTCATTTCTGTCCCTAGGGAGGGTGAACATGCTTGAACTTTCGTAACGGTACCGGCATTTTCTCAGGATATCCTATTCAGAAAGGTCCAATCTAATTTAAACATTTTCCATAACACAACATGATTGAGCAGCACACTGAAAGTGACAATCTTTGGATGAGGAACTGAGCATAAGAATTCCTCTACCTACAGTGCCTGACATGTAATATCCTTTTACCATATCATGACCAAATTCTGTTCCAGTTAATTATGTTTTGATTGCCAAACATCCTCTCTGCTGCTCCCTCATTGTGACTCTGCTCCTCATCTCAAGGCGCTCATCACTGGATTTCTGGCTATTTCTATATTCCAGAATTAGCCACATCAAATACTTAGTTTTGTATTGGGCTGAATTAGAAG